TCTTCTTCTTCCTTCTTCTTCATTTTTCTTCTTTTTATTTTTCTTTTCTCTTTCAAATTTTGTTTGTAAGATTGAAAGCTTGGTTTGGAGGTGTTCACTTGACATTTTCCGGCGAGTTTTCCGGTAACTTTTCGGCTATCTTATTTTTATCTAAATTTCGTTCTCTACGCATTATTTTCATCCAATCTTGCTATAGGAAAATAGGTACCTTGATTAGGGCTTATTATTTCGAGTCGTGATTTGGTTGGAATGATATGTTTATGTTCGATTTTAGGCCTTGCGTTATTTTCATTGCGTGTTTATGCGTGTTAGGGTTCGATACGTGCTTATCTAGTATAGAAGTCCCGACTTGCTCGAAGCGGGATGATCTAGGATAGAAGGTTCGTGTTAGGATACTTAGGATCGCTAGGCTCGCATGTTTCCTTTTGTTATTTTTATTTTCGTCAAGTTATGTAGACTCCGTGCAACCAAAGCTTGACATTTCTTTCGATTCTTGCTTTTTCATTAATTGCTTTTAAATTATTAGAATAATTTAGTGTAATCAACCCACAATCAAGCGAGTAGAATGTTTAGGACCTTATTTTCGGTCTTGTGAATTTGACAACTAGATGGTAAACGAAGCTCCGAACAGTCTTCCTTTGAGAACGACCCGAGTCGGGTAACTCGGTTACCACATGCCCAAAAATACTACAAACAAGCCGCCTCCTAGATTATAGCTGAAGTTTTTAGTTTTTTACTGCTCTATAATAATCATGACAGACACCGGCAATTTATTGATTGAATTGTTCAGTTTTTTTTTTTTTTTTTTTCCACCACAGCTTCCTCAACGTCAGTCTCAATAATCTCTCAGCAGGCCTTGAAGAAAAGAGACAAGTAACCAACAGGACCAGAAACACTATTGAGATAAATCCTAAAAGTTGCCTCCTTGACCTCCTCCCTACTCGGGAGGTCGCAACAAAGTTGACCGACTGCGGGATGGTAGGGAAAATCGTTTGTTGGGGGGGTAAGCAAGTGCCAATCTAAGGTGAAGAGGGACTGGAAGTGTGTCACAGCCAACTCCCGTATCTGGGACTCTTCCGTCAGGGAAGACCCGTTATTCTCAATACAATGGATATACGACTTAACCCGCTTCTGCCTCACAAACCCCTGAAAGTACTTGGTACTACGTTCCCTCTCAGCAACCCAGCGCACATCAGCCTTCCGCTTCTAGAAATCCTCCTCCATAAGGAGACGAAGCTGGTACTCAGCGTGACAGCGGTGCATCGCGGTCCTATTCTCTGGAGTTGAGTCCATATCATAAGCTCGCTCATTATTATTATTATTATTATTATTATTATTATTATTATTATTATGAGATGCACAAATATTTTTTATGCAAAACTAAGAAAGGAGTCACTTATTATAAGAAATGCTAAGTCAATACTTGATTATTTTTTAAAGTCAGGAATGTTGAACATAGAGAGAATTTGAGAAAGAAATATTTACAATTCGCATAATAAAAATAAATCTACTTTATTATAAAAGCAGGAATGATCTCATTAAAAAAAAATAGACGAACTAAAAAGTCCTTATATTCGATTTAATATTAATGGCAATATTGTAACCACATAAGTATTTAAATAAAAAAAGAACTAATCAACCCAAAAAGTCTGTAGCTTCAGTACTGGACTTTGTTTTCCAATATGGTAATAATGTTTACAATTTTGATATCCAACAATAATATTCTACAAGTTGAATTCAAATTAATATAATATAATAAAATTAAGAAAGAGAAAGGTAAAATAAAAAATTATCAAATAAAGTTATTGCTATATATTGCATGATAAGTCAAAAGAATAATCTTAGACCAATTGGATCCCAGAACTAAATATATGAGCGTAACCAACAATTTTCTTGAAAATAATGATTAACCTACCCTTGAATGAAAATTGAATGTTTTCAGGTGCAATATTACTTTTTGAACAAATATCTCGGTACATGAGAGAGGGCCCGAACTACGTGAAAGAGGTTGGTGTGGATAGCCAACTCGGGCTATCCTCGGCCGAGTGACGACGGGGCTGATGGTTGTGATAAAATAGGAAACTAGTAGTTGCAGAAAAGAGTTCATTATAATATTAGTCATTATATAGTTATTTTATTTCATGTAAAACTTTAAAATATAAAAGCATGAATGATGTTGTAAAAAGATAGAAGAACTAAAAAGTTCTTATATTTTATATAATATTAATAGTAATATTGTAATCATATAAGTATTTCAATAAAAAAGGTCTAATCAACAAAAAATAATTTACGTTATAAGAACTCTATTATTCATTAAAATCCTATAAGTAGATTTCGTAGCTTCGATATTATACTCTTTCCCAATATGATAATAGTATTTACAATGTTGATGTCAAGCAATAATATTCTGTAAGATCAACTCAATTTTATTGAATTATGTGTAAATTTATAATCAATTTACTATAACATTCATATGAATAATTAAAAATATTTTTTATTTTAAAATTGTCAAATTGTTTGAACTATATGAAAAGATTTGAGTTCTTACAGTGGGGTAGTCATTAGTTCTAAAAGGGCACAAGTGAGGTTAGAATACAATGAACTAATTTCTCCTCTTTTATCTAGACCTACCTTGAATATAATCAATAGAAATTGTATAAATGTAGCTCAATAAACTAGGATTAATCCAATTTGACCTTAAAAGTTTTTCCATCAAAATTTAAAAAAAAAATAAAAAATGAAAGATTAATTAATTCAAAGTTATATATTTTGAGATGCAATTGTGCATATTTAGGTAACCACATTTGGAAAATGTTTTTTCACATGTTGAGATATTGATAAATTCAATTTAGAATATGAATTTAACTCATTATCACATTGATAGATGCCCTAACTTTTACTTCCCGATTCAGAAAAGCATTGTATTTGGGCACTTCTTTAACTAGATATTAAACACATTGATATATCAATATCTAAATTTATTGTCAAAATATCGTACAAAATAAAATGATCCAATCTATAAAATATGATATCATCGGTTGTGCTTGTGATACTTCACTCATATGCCACATCAAAACCATACTATTATATTATTATTATTATTATTATTATTATTATTATTATTAGATGCACAAAATTTTTTTATGCAAAACTAAGAAAGGAGTCACTTATTATAAGAAATGCTAAGTCAATAATTGATTATTTTTTAAAGTCAGGAATGACGAACATAGAGAGAATTTGAGAAAGAAGTATTTACAATTTCACATAATAAAAATTAATCTACTTTATTATAAAAGCTGGAATGATTTCATAAAAAAAAAAAAATAGACGAACTAAAAAGTCCTTATATTTGATTTAATATTAATGGCAATATTGTAACCACATAAGTATATTTCAATAAAAAAAGATCTAATCAACTCAAAAAGTCCGTAGCTTCAGTATTGGACTTTCTTTTCCAATATGGTAATAATGTTTACAATTTTGATATCCAACAATAATATTCTACAAGTTGAATTAAAATTAATATAATATAATAAAATTAAGAAAGAGAAAGGTAAAATAAAAAATAATTAAATAAAGTTATTGCGGTATATTGCATGATAAGTTAAAAGAACAATCTTTGACCAATTGGAACTCAGAACTAAATATATGAGCGTAGCAAACAATTTTCTTGAAAATAATGATTAACCTACCCTTGAATGAAAATTGAATGTTTTCAAGTGCAATATTACTTTTTGAACAAATATCTCGGTACATGAGAGAAGGCCCGAACTACGTGAAAGAGGTTGGTGTGGATAGCCAACTCGGGCTATTCTCGGCTGAGTGACGGCGGGGCTGATGGTTGTGATAAAATAGGAAACTAATAGTTGCAGAAAAGAGTCCATTATAATATTAGTCATTATATAGTTATTTTATTTCATGTAAAACTTTAAAATATAAAAGCATGAATGATGTTGTAAAAATATAGAAGAACTAAAAAGTTCTTATATTTTATATAATATTAATAGTAATATTGTAATCATATAAGTATTTCAATAAAAAAGGTCTAATCAACAAAAAATAATTTAAACGTTATAAGAACTCTATTATTCATTAAAATCCTATAAGTAGATTTCGTAGCTTCGATATTGTACTCTTTCCCAATATGATAATAGTATTTACAATGTTGATGTCAAACAATAATATGCTGCAAGTTGAATTAAAATTAATATGATATAATGAAATAAAGAAAGAGATATGGAAAATAAAAAATAATTAAATAAAGTTATTGTTTTGTATCGAATGATAAGTCAAAAGAACAATCTAAACCAACTGGATCGCAGAACTAGATATATGAGCGTAACAAATATTTTTTTATAAATTAATGATTAACCTACCCTTGAATGAAAATTGAAAGTTTTCAAGTGCAATATTATTTTTTGGGCAAACATCTCAGTACATGCGAAAGGGCCCAAACCAGGCGAAAGAGGTTGTTTTGGATAGCCAACTCGGGCTATTCTCGAGGGACAGCGGGGCTGATGGAAACTAGAAACTAATCGTTTTAGAAACTAACTTTTGAATATCTCAACCAACTATTGGAGTTTGCCAGTAGGCCACGGTTCGATGATTCAGTCGCTTTGTGCTATGGATATTCTTATACACGTCAAAACTCAGCTTTTGACATACCGATTACAACAACTGATGAATTACAGAAATACGTACAGAGTTATGTCAAAATTGGAAAGGAAAATGTTGATATCTAAATTGTTTGGGTCGACCCATAAGGAGATGATTGTATAGCCGCCTCCTAGATTATAGCTGAAGTTTTTAGTTTTTTTACTGCTCTATAATAATCGTGACAGACACAGACAATTTATTGATTGAATTGTTCAGTTTTTTCTTTAAAAAAAAAAAAAAAAACTCATGGTATTTATTGTTAATGAAGGGATCTTCTTTAGCAGGAACACAACACAAAGGCTAGGTGACCGTTAAGGATCTTAGACAAGAGCTTGTTGGTCACATTACAAAAGCTGATGGTCTATAATCGGACCAAGAGTCAGGCCAGGTCTTTTAGGTATAAAAATAATAGAGGTTGCTGTCAAGGACTCCGACATCTGATGACCTGAGAAGAAATCCACCACAGCTTCCTCAACGTCAGTCTCAATAATCTCCCAGCAGGCCTTGAAGAAAAGAGCTGAGTAACCATCCGGACCAGAAACACTATTGGGGTAAATCCTAAAAATAGCCTCCTTGACCTCCACCCTACTCGGGAGGTCGCAGAGGTCAACAAAGTTGACCGACTGCGGGATGATAGGGAAAATCGTTTGTTGGGGGGGTAAGCAAGTGCCAATATGAGGTGAAGAGGGACTGGAAGTGTGTCACAGCCAACTCCCGTATCTGGGACTCTTCGGTCAGGGAAGACCCGTTATTCTCAATACAATGGATATACGACTCAACCCGCTTCTGCCTCACAAACCCCTGAAAGTACTTGGTATTACGTTCCCTCTCAGCAACCCAGCGCAATCAGCCTTCTGCTTCTAGAAATCCTCCTCCATAAGGAGACAGAGCTGGTACTCAGCGTGACAGCGGTGCATCGCGGTCCTATTCTCTGGTGTTGAGTCCAGATCATAAGCTCGCTCAACATTATTATTATTATTATTATTATTATTATTATTATGAGATGCACAAATATTTTTTATGCAAAACTAAGAATGGAATCACTTATTATAAGAAATGCTAAGTCAATACTTGATTATTTTTTAAAGTCAGGAATGCCGAACATAGAGAGAATTTGAGAAAGAAGTATTTTTAATTTCGCATGATAAAAATTAATCTACTTTATTATAAAAGCAGGAATGATTTCATTAAAAAAAAATTAGACAAACTAAAAAGTCCTTATATTCGATTTAATATTAATGCAATATTGTAACCACATAAGTATTTCAATAAAAAAAGATCTAATCAACCCAAAAAGTCCGTAGCTTCAGTATTGGACTTTCTTTTACAATATGGTAATAATGTTTACAATTTTGATATCCAACAATAATATTCTACAAGTTGAATTAAAATTAATATAATATAATAAAATAAAGAAAGAGAAAGGAAGAATAAAAAATGATTAAATAAAGTTATTGTGGTGTATTGCATGATAAGTCAAAAGAACAATCTTAGACCAACTGGATCCCAGAACTAAATATATGAGCGTAATGATTAACCTACCTTTGAATGAAAATTGATTGTTTTCAAGTGCAATATTAATTTTCGAACAAATTTCTCGGTACATGAGAGAGGGCCCGAACTACGTGAAAGAGGTTGGTGTGGATAGCCAACTCTGGTTATTCTCGGTCGAGTGACGGTATGGTTAGTTGTTAGTGAGTATATTAAATTAATATTTAAAATAAAATAATTAAAATTGATTTGATATAAAAGTAAGAGAGAGGATGTAAAAGTAAGAGAGAGAGATTTGAAGTGATGGTTAGTTAAAATAATGTGAGTGGATGAATAGTGAATTAAGGTTAATGTGGTGTGTGTGGATGATTGATTAATATTATTTAATTATATTGATAATTTTGATGATAGTGGGGTTGAGTTAAAGTTGAGTTAAAAAAAAATAGATGAGTTAAAATGTTGGAAATTTTTTGAAGAATTCCATAAACAAACAAGCTCTAATAGTTGCAGAAAAGAGTTCATTATAATATTAGTCATTATATAGTTATTTTATTTCATGTAAAATTTTAAAATTTAATATGATATAATAAATCAATTTTCTTTAAAATTATCCAACTCATCATAAAACTTAGTGATTATTTAATACCTTTTTTTTTTTTAAATTTCACTATTACCTCTTTATCAGCAATTTCATATTTTAATAATAATAATTTTCATATTTGTTTTGTTTGTCTTGCACTGCATTGCATTTGTCTTGGAACTTTCCAGCATATAATTATAATATTGTAAACTTTATTGAATTATGTTTAAATTTATAATCATTTTACTATACTATTCACATTCTTAACTAAAATAATAGGTCTGAGATCTACACCTATGAATTGAAAGGTCCAAAAGATCAACTCAATTTTATTGAATTAAGTGTAAATTTATAATCAATTTACTATAACATTCATATGAATAATTAAAATATTTCTTATTTTAAAATTGTCAAATTGTTTGAACTATATGAAAAGATTTGAGTTCTTACAGTGGGGTAGTCATTAGTTCTAAAAGGGCACACATGAGGTTAAAATCCAATGAACTGACTTCTCCTCTTTTATCTAAACCTACCTTGAAAAAAATCAATAGAAATTGTATAAATGTAGCTCAATAACTAGGATTAATCCAATTTGACCAAAAAAATTTTTCCAACAAAAAAAAAAAAATGAAAGATTAATTAATTCAAAGTAATATATTTTGAGATGCAATTGTCCATATTTGGGTAACCACCTTTCGAAAATATTTTTTCACATATTGAGATATTGATAATTTCAATTTAGAATATGAATTTAACTCATTATCACATTGATAGATGCCATAACTTTTGGTGTTGATGAATTGTTTGGATTAAAGGCTTCAACTTCCCGATTCAGAAAAGCATTGTATTTGTGGACTTCATTGATGTAGGGAAGCGTACGAGTGAGACGATATTAATGAGATCACAATCTCAAGAACACCAAAACAATATATCAATTCATATTTTATTCAAAATTAACCACCTAAAATAATAGATATGGATTCCTTTAAAAAGTCTCCTAAACCCTATTCCTAACTTGTCCAACAAGACAAAATCTCTTATAATAATATTTATTTTCTAACTTATTCTCTAAGATACCTATGCTAATAATAATAGTAATAATAATAATAATAATAATAATAATAATAATAATAATAATAATAATAATAATAATAATAATAATAATAATAATAATAATAATAATAATAATAATAATAATAATAATAATAATAATAATAATAATAATAATAATAATAATAATAATAATAATAATAATAATAATAATAATAATAATAATAATAATAATAATAATAATAATAATAATAATAATAATAATAATAATAATAATAATAATAATAATAATAATAATAATAATAATAATAATAATAATAATAATAATAATAATAATAATAATAATAATAATAATAATAATAATAATAATAATAATAATAATAATAATAATAATAATAATAATAATAATAATAATAATAGTCTACATTATTCTCTCGTGGTTCGGAAGGCTTCGCCCTTGAACCTGATGCGCTCCCGTAGCCAACGTGTGGTGTCGAATCCATAGTAAGAAACCCTCGTCGTTTTCCACGATCAAACATGGAAGTTAAACGTCGCCCAACCAATGCAACACTCTTGATTTTCATCAAACAGGGATACGACTACAGCTGTCTCACCAGCATCAACAACAAAAACCAAGACTCTTGGGCACAACCAAGAGCGAGCACATCTTCCTTTAGGATCAAATCCCACACAAAAAACGTGATACCACATATCACATGAATCACAAACAATGGATGCATCAATATCTGAATATACATCAATTGATACCGATCCACTACGAATTTTGCGATCATCTCCATCCATGTCGACAACGGCATTCCCATGCCCTTCCATTGACAATATTCGCTATCAAGTCCCCAATCGTGTTGGGCACGACATCCGCGGGTGAAGGCAACCTCTTCGCGCCTGCCTATGTCCTCGCGTTGATCGTCGTCGTCCACGAAGACGAGGCCCTGTCGCCGCGTGTCACGGCCATCGTTTGCAGCAAATCATCATCATCATCATCATCATCATCATCATCGTCATCATCATCATCATCGTCATCGTCATCGTCATCATCATCGTCATCGTCATCGTCATCGTCATCGTCATCGTCATCGTCATCGTCATCATCATCATCATCATCATCATGAGATGCACAAATATTTTTTATGCAAAACTAAGAAATGAGTCACTTATTATAAAAAATGCCAAATCAACACTTGATTATTTTTTAAAGTCAGGAAATGCCGAACATAGAGAGAAATTGAGAAAGAAGTATTTATAATTTCACGTAATAAAAATTAATCTACTTTATTATAAAAGCAGGAATGATTTCATAAAAAGAAAAAATAGACGAACTAAAAAGTCCTCATATTCGATTTAATATTAATGGAAAAATTGTAACCACATAAGTATTTCAATAAAAAAAAAAGATCTAAAATAAAAAAAGAGAAAGGTTGAATAAAAAATGATTAAATAAAGTTATTGTGGTGTATTGCATGATAAATCAAAAGAACAATCTTAGACAAACTGGATCCTAGAACTTAATATATGAGAGTAACGAACAATTTTCTTGAAAATAATGATTAACCTACCCGTGAAAGAAAATTGAATGTTTTCAAGTGAAATATTATTTTTCGAACAAATATCTCAGTACATGAGAGAGGGCCCGAACTAGAGGTTGGTGTTGATAGCTAACTCGGGCTATTCTCCGCCGAGTGATGGCGAGGCTCATGGTTCTGATAAAATTGGAAACTAATAGTTGCATAAAAGAGTTCATTATAATATTAGTCATTATATAGTTATTTTATTTCAGTAAAACTTTAAATTTTAATATAATATAACAAATCAATTTTATTTAAAATTATCCAACTCACCATATACAAAATCTATAGTATGGGTTTATAGTTGTATAAGTAGGATAAATAACTTTGTCATTATTTAACATTAATTGTTTTTTTTTTTTAATTTCACTATTACCTCTTTATGAGCAAATTTCATATTTTAATTATAATCATTTACATATTTGTTTTGATTGTCTTGCACTGCATTGCATTTGTCTTAGAACTTCCAGCATATAATTATAATATTATTGTAAATTTTATTGAATTATGTTTAAATTTATAATTGTTGTAGTTATTTTTACCGGAGTTAAATCGAAAGATTCGAACACTGGGTCGTATCTCAAGAAAGGTCAGCCGGATTAAATTGTACGAATATTTAGTCACAGGAAAAGAAAATAATCCTAAACACTCTAATTCAAATGGTTGGTTTCGATTATCAACTACTCGATTATCTACTAACAGTTCTCAAACAAGTCAATTTCGATCACACAACTTCAAACACAAACCAAATAATTGTAAAGGGACTAGGGTGTCAGGGACAATCGTTTCCGGTTCTCAATACATTTATCGGGCAATCAACTACTCGGCTAAAGGACTCGAAAAACTAATTCATTTAGAGATCCATTCTCAATAACGCACGTAACAAGAGAATCAACATAAACCAACAATTAACGAATCAATTAACGCATAGACAATACGTTTCCGAACAAGTCTATTCTAAACGTGCTGAAATCGATTGATTTCTCCCCTTTCGGTTCTAAAATCGATTAAATATATTAAGATGGTGATCAATCATTCAACCCTAGGTTTAGCATAACTCGAATAGATTGAGCATTCAACATTCACACAAACGAAATTGAACCAAAATAATTATCCCCTAACCCTAGTTAATGAATCTAGCCACTCATTGCAATTTCAACACAACAATTCATAATTAAGCAAGCCATCAAATTCATACACAAAATGAAAAGAAATGCTTACGATCAATAGCGAATCCAATGTCTAAAAGCAACGAACAATCCAAATCCACAAGTCCAATCTTGGAGTTTTCACTATCCAAGATTGAATCCCAATGAAAACTAAGAGAAAAATGAGTTCTGGGAGTGATAAGTTTTGGTCTCTGATGAAAAAACCATCGAAAACAAAGTCTGAAGAATGATAAATAAAACCCACCTCTCGATCCTAATTAAACGCAGACGGTTTTGAAGTTTAAAAGATCTTGCGCCGCGGCGCGGAGGATGTCTTCACCGCGGTGCGAGGCGAAGGGAACGGCGCGGCAGGGTGTTGCGCCGCGGCGCAGCAGGCGTCGCGGCGCGAAGCTGAAGTCTGGGGAACTCTTAGTCCAAGTTATGGCAGGATCGCGGCGTGGAGCTCCTCCTCAATCATACTGTCGCGATGCGGTGGCTGGAAAAGCTGGCACTTTGATTCGTGTTGAGGGCCGGGACGTACGCTGCTCGATTGCTCGGTTATTTTAATAGCTCCAAACGTGTGATGAAAAACCTGAATCTGCACAGCACCAAAGACGAAAGAAAAAAACACACGAAAACAGGCAAGAGAATAGAAAATATCAAAAACGAGGGATAAACGACAAAAACACGAAATGAACGCCTGGTGGACCAAAAAGAACTAAAAAGATTCCTAAAAATGGGGGTAAAGACTAAAAATAACCAAATAAAAAGATAACAAAAATAGGACAAACAATAATCATTTTACTATAACATCATATTCTTAACTAAAATAATAGGTCTGAGATCTACACCTATGAATTGAAACGTCCAAAAGATAAACTCAATTTTATTGAATTATGTGTAAATTTATAATCAATTTACTATAACATTCATATGAATAATTAAAATATTTTTTATTTTAAAAATGTCAAATTGTTTGAACTATATGAAAAGATTTGAGTTCTTACAGTGGGGTAGTCATTAGTTCTAAAAGGGCACAAGTGAGGTTTGAATACAATGAACTAACTTCTCCTCTTTTCTCTAGACCTACCTTGAATATAATCAATAGAAATTGTATAAATGTAGCTCAATAAACTAGGATTAATCCAATTTGACCTTAAAAGTTTTTCCATCAAAATTAAAAAAGAAAAAATGAAAGATTAAATAATTCAAAGTAATATATTTTGAGATGCAATTGTGCATATTTGGGTAACCACATTTGTAAAATGTTTTTTCACATGTTGAGATATTGATAATTTCAATTTAGAATATGATTTAACTCATTATCACATTGATAGATGCCCTAACTTTTACTTCCCGATTCAGAAAAGCATTGTATTTGCGGACTTCTTTAACTAGATATTAAACAGATTGATATATCAATATCTAAATTTATTGTCAAAATATCGTACAAAATAAAATAATCCAATCTATAAAATATGATATCATCGGTTGTGCTTGTGATACTTCACTCATATGCCACATCAAAATCATACTATTATATTATTATTATTATTATTATTATTATTATTATTAGATGAACAAATATTTTTTATGCAAAACTAAGAAAGGAGTTACTTATTATAAGAAACTAGTATGGTATTCGTGCGATGCACGGGAACATTTATTACCTATTTATTTTTTAAAATGTATTTTGTATTTAAATTGTCTCATGCCATTAAAAATTTCATGAAAATGAACTTTGTATGTTATTAAACACTTCCTTATGTACAACATTATTGATTTGATTCTTTGGTACGTAAAGTACTACATAGGTATCTTCGAATTTATCCAAAATTGCATATTATTAGTTATTAGTTAAAAAATTTTAAAAAAATTAAAGGATCTTATTTATTAAACAAAATTAAAGTAGAAAAAAAAAGTAAAATTTTTTAAGGACGTTCACCCATTATTTATTTTAAATCTAATTCTAAATTTCAATTAAGAAAAATTAAAAAGAATCATTAGTTACTCCTAGAAATGAAACTTATTTTCCTACCAATAAACCGATTTTTTTTCAAACAAATTGATCCGAATTTTTTTTTAAACCAATAAAAAAATCATCAATTTTTCTTAAAAATGCAACCAAATTTTTCTAACATTGCACTGATTTTTGTACCAAATAAATTGAATTGAAAATAGTTCTAATAAAAAATTAAAACAAATTGTTAATGTTTATGCAATTGTCTCTTTCCTAAAGAAAACTATATGAACTTAACAAAAAAAAAATGATATAAACTTACCCAAATCTCGGTAAAACATGATTAAGAAAAACATAAGAATCCAAAAAAATCAATGCATTTAAATTTTGAAAAGTTGCACACATTTTTTCCTAAATAATTGGATAAAGTGACTTTAAATATCAATGATGAATCGTTTTTGTTACCAAAAAATGTGGACACAATTTTGAATGTACATCCCATCCAAATATCTGTTTTATTTAAAAATAAAATTTGCACGTGGCTTTATCCAATTTACACAAATTTTTTGAAAAAAAAAATTATTCAATAAGATTGGAAGAATTGGTTAACAATTATACAACTATTTGCTTCCTAAATTTATATCCAATTTGTACGGTTTTTAAATTAATTTGTATTTAGAATTATTTTCATAAATAATTGACACATTTTTTGCATAAGAATCTCCAAATTTGTTACAAAAAAAAGATATGATTTAAATTTTGGTAAAATATAAAATATGATACGAAGAAAATGAGATTCAAATTTTGCCATAAAAATCTCCAAATTTGTTACCAAAAAATAGGATTTAAATTTTGTTACTAAAGATTCACATGTGTTTTTTCAAACTTTCCATTAATAGTAAGTCAAACATTATATTTACTTGGTCAAACCTTCTATTAATGTATTTTTTCAACAACCTCTTTATATATATATAGATATAGATATAGATGCTAAGTCAATACTTGATTATTTTTTAAAGTCAGGAATGACGAACATAGAGAGAATTTGAGAAAGAAGTATTTACAATTTCACATAATAAAAATTAATCTACTTTATTATAAAAGCTGGAATGATTTCATAAAAAAAAAAAAATAGACGAA